TTTTTTTTACACTTACATATTTTAGTTTTGTTAATTTACATTTTTTGAGAATTTCATACACCACGAATACTGTATTTCCATCAATTCCACAATCCCTCTCCCCCCTCCAACTTCTTGTGTCCCCCATTCTTAACCTCTAAGAAAGGGAAAGCTGAATTTCAAAACCTCATGCTTCCACAATGAAGAAGTACCTTTTAATTGGGTTAAGTTTAGATAACGTAGACCAATAATCTTCACATAAAGTGCATTTCTTATAAAAAAATTAAATGGCAAGGCACATGTCATGCATGTTTTAAGGCCGTGGGTTTTCTTTGCTTAACTAAAAGATAAAAATTGGAAACACGGTTTTGTGTGCATGTTTCACACACCTGTTGAATGCTGACTTTTACTAGACCTGTCTCTAATGATGACAGCTCTGGAAAAGACAGACACGGTCTCTGCTCTCATAGATTTGTTATGTTAGAGGCTAATGAAGTCAGATATGGAAAACGAGCTGAGTTTCTTGTGAGAGGAAAGATTCAGATAACTAATAACCAGGACAAGGTAATCTCTACAAAGATAATCTTCAAATACATATATATTTCATGAAAAGAGTTCATGAAACTTGTTTTATGTACTCGTTCAACAAGCATGCGTCCCAGCTCACTACTTTGTAGGGCACAGTAGAACATACATACACACACACACACACACACACACACACACTGATACAGAGTGATCAGTGTTATAGAGAGATGAGTGCCGAAAGAGACACAGATAGATGTTGTTGATTCTTGGGGAGCAGAGATTATGCCACCTCCGGGACTGGATGAAGAGGAAAGTGAAGGAAACTATAGGAGTGATGGAAACATCAGTAGAATTTGTTCTTCTGTCTTTCCCGTGAAAGAAACTGCACACATCAACAAGTCTTATGTACTGTGTTGAAAATACTATCAATTTGTTCCATAATAATGAAACAGTGAAGGACTCAGTTTTTATTGTTTCTTAATGATCTATCCCTACTCTACCTGTGCATGAGAACACACACACACACACAGGCCCCCCTTTTTTATCTTTAAACAGGGTGAATTTGATTTGAAAAGCAGATGCTAACAATTTTTTATATTGTCTTGCAGTCTAGTCTCAGGTTAAACTTTATTCCCCTGAATTAAGTAGGGAGTTTTTGAAATGTATTGATATGAAATTAACAAAAAACAGATTTTTCCATAGTTCAGTTTTCTGAAGGCTTGATCAAGACAGAAATAAGGTGGCAAATTTATAATGAGCCTAAAGACTTTTATATAAAATTCATATGCAGTCCACAATAATTATAACTAATTATGTAATTTATAGTACATATAATGTATACACTCTTGATTTACAGTAATTATTCATACATTTATTTAAAAAAATAAGCTACAGTTCAAATACTTTTAACACTATTTGATTGCTTAACATTCACAGAACAAATACCCCAGTGTGCATGCTGTATTTTTAAGATGCACAGGAATTTAAAATGAAAAGCTGCTCCAGGAAATGAAAACTCAGACACCATTGCATTATCCTGATAACCCTTCCAGGGCTCCAGGAAGCATAGATGTTTGAATTGTGTGCAGTTAAGCCAGAACTCACGGATCATTTAACTTCCTCATAGTTTCAAAGTCAAAATTAAATCTTCCAATAAAAACATAATGAAAATATTGAGCATGCCATATTAGATAAGATTACCCCAAACAAAAAGGCAAAGGGGAAATTACTCCAGAGCAAACTTCAGGCCTATTGAAGGGGCAGTGAGGTGCCCCTTGGTGACATGCATGTATGCCTGCTCTCTTCACAGTCCGTGACTTAATTGGTAAAGTTGGTTGATATCTTTAGGAAATATGGATTATTTTCAGATTTTACAGTGTATTTCTCTTGCAGTTTCTCTGTTTTGGTTGATAGATTTTTGTTTGTTTTTCATGAGATGGCATTAAGGCAAGCATCCTACCATGCTTCTACTTTGTCAGGCTTTCCCTCACTTTCTTCTGTGAACTCTTACTCTCCCCTTGCCTTGTCACACCGTCCTTCCTTTTGCTGGCCTTTGGCTTTATTTTTTAGCAGCTGGTCTCACTTCCTGTGGACTTTGGCTTCTGCAGGCCTTGATGAGATGCCTTCTGGCAGGCCATGGTGAGAGGCCTTCTGTGGGTCTTGGTCACCGGTGGCCTTCTGTGGGTCTTGATGAGAGGCCTTCTATGACATGCTTTCGACTCTCTTTGCTGGTGAGTTCTTGGGTCGCTTCCATCAGAGGTCTAGAAATTTGAGCAGGGAGAAAGCCGTGTGCACACTGAATCAGCATCTTTTACATGAACGGCATGAGTCAAGGTTGTGTCATCTTTCTCGTGTTCCCTAGAGTCTCTGTGCCGACTCAGGTATCTTCAAACTCATTTAGAAAGCAAACCCAAAAGGACAAATTGAGATGAATACCATTTTGATTAGAACACTGGGATATTTAATTATAGGAAGTATGTGCATAAGGCTTTTTATCCCAAGTATGATATTTACTGCAAAAATTATAATACACTGAGATAGTTTCCAAAGTGGCCTTGTAGGAATGAGTGTCAGGATAGAGTGAAAGTTGTAGACTCCATATTCAACTCTGTTTAAATGATAGGGTTGGGAACTACTGCCCTTGGGATGTCTGGGCCACTTTCTATGTGGTGGTGATTTCTGACATTGGGATTCTCTGCAGAGAATCTTTCCTGAAGGATTCCCTCAACACCCCCACCCCCATCCTCATTTGAAAATCTGCACAGAGGGAATCAGATGTAGCCCATAACATCTTTTAACACCCTCTTGTGTATATGGAAAGTTCCTGCCTAGGCTAAAAATGTCTAGGAAGAAAATAACTTGAGTTTAACTCTGCCCTGGGCTTTATATTTAAAAAGCTAAGATAAGATCTTCGCTAAAATCCTTCTTTACATGTAGAATAATTTTAGTCCTCCTGATTGATGCTATCCTGTAGAAGTTTAGAGCATATGATTTTTGTGATCTGTCTCTCTCCTTCCTTCTTTCCTTCCTTCCCTTCCTCCCTCTTTCTCTTCTTCCCTCTCTCTCTTCCTTCTGTTTTTCAGTGCTGGAAACCAAATCCAGGACTTCATACATGCTGGGCAAGTGCTCTACTGCTGAGCTACACCCGCAGCCCAAGAGAGTATATATTATCTTAACTTCTGGGGAAACACCATTTTCAGTTGCTGTTCTACAGCTTAAAGACCTACAGCTAGTGGTGGTCTCTTAAGCTATCTATAAACCTGGTCAGCTGTCCTGAAAGTAGTCTGTGCTCTTCTGTAAAGAGCTGGCTTTTGGGATACCTGGCCAGTGACATAACAGAAGGCAGAATTTGTTCCACCCCACACTCTTAATTGTGGTTGTAAACTGTGGAGACAACACAAAGTTTTCTTTACCTGTTTTTAGTTGTGAAACAATTCTAGTGTCCTCTTATTTGTGGTAAATTATCTAAATTTAACAAATGTTAAATTTTAGAAATAGAATTTTAGAGTATAAATTAAAACAAAAATGAAGATAAGAGAAATGAGAGAGGCAGGTGTGAGTGGTGGCCTGGCCTTGTCTCCACCCAATGCAGACACTTTCCTTAGTTCAATTTATTATCATTCAAAAAATAGCTTTTCATTTCATACAACCTAAAATAGCTTATGAGATAATTTGCTTTGGAGTATTCAAATCAAATTCCCTATGAACCTGAAATCTCTTTGCTTCTGTAAATAATAAAAATTATTGGGATAAATAACTTGTTTAATTGAAATATGAATATCTCTGTGTGGAAATACAGGTTGATTTTTCCCCCCTTTCTATTATAGTGTTTCTCAGACCCCAGAGAAATTTGGAATCTATAGACCCACAGTTTACAATTCGGAGGAAGATGGAGCAAATGAGAGAAGAGAAAGAAGTGGTGGAGCAGCTCCGTGAGGTACCCGGGAATAGCTGTGGTTAAGTCGTATCATGCAGGGCTGCAGCAGCATTCTAGATTTTTTAAAAAGCAGCCTTGCAGACAATCCCAGTTGCAGTTCTAGCTAGGCTGCTTACTGTTTGATATCGGGCAAGTCACTTAACAGCCTTGAGTTCAGTTTCTCTTGGCATTAAAAACCCTTAAGTGCAGTTTGTGAAGACAATATGGATACTATATGCATACATATAAATTATAGCATTATAGCCGGGTGTGGAAGTGCATGCCTTTAGTCCCAGCACTCAGGAGGCAGAGGCAGGCAGATCTGTATGAGTTCAAGGTCAGCCTGGTCCACATAGTGAGTTCCAGGCCAGCTGGGGCTACAAAGAGTCCCTGTCTAAAAAAAAAAAAAAAATCACAGCATTATTTCAGTTCTGGTATACTGTAAAACAATGCCTGTCACATATTTGCTTAATAATAATATGTCATTAATTTAAAAGGGTTATTTATAGTTTTCCAAACTTTGTATTCCAAACTAGTCAGAGCTTTTGAATCAGTCCTGTAACAAGCAAACCATGTGAATTCTTACTGAAAATGAAGTCTTGCCCTGGATGCCATCAGTGATTTTCAGCTTAGTAGTGTCAGAGACTGGAACTGTCTGGTTCATTGTGCTGTGGCACAGTGAAGTTGCTTATGTATCCCCGAGGCTTTTTTGTCTGTATAGGAAAATACTGCATGTGTATATGGAAGTAACAGTGCAAGGTTCCTTTGCTGAGGAAGAAACTGATTGTTAAAGACAGCCTGTGAGTTCCTCACATTCAAAGAGAAATCCCATGACTGCGACCTCAGGGAGGATACAGAGTCTGTGTTAAAGTATCTCCTTTTTCTGACAGATGGTTGTTGGCCACCACCTATTGGTAGGCAGTGTTCTACAGATTGATATGACACTTACAGGCTATCCTAAAGAAATAGTAAAAGAAATATGCTGTTTCAAATAATAGTGAATTTAGCAAAGGAGCAGTAAATCCTCTAAATAAAAGTTAAATTGAGGCTGGAGAGATGGGCTCAGTGGCTAAGAGGTTCCCAGTACTTCCCAGAACCCATGTAACATCCTTAATCCAGTCCTAGGAGATCCCATCCCTCTTTTGGCCTCTGCAGGCATTGCATGACATAGGTGTGTTTAACATGCAGGCAAAGCACTCATACACATAAAATAAAGACAAATAAAAATTAATTAGTTAATAAAGGGTAGATCACCATCTTTATTACTGAAGGCGACACATTATAAATGGTGTAGCAGGTTGTTAGGAGGAACAAATTGTAAAAGAACAGTCCCTTACCAACTCATGCTGGCAGATTCAGCAAGCATGAGGGAGGGAAAAGTTGATTCCTTCACCCAGCCCATTTGGGTGTGGACTTGAAAGATAACAAAGTACAACATAAATCTCCAAAAGAAACATCCTATGGCTGGAGAGAGAGCACAGAGGTTAAGAACACCAGATACTCTTGCAGAGGACCCTGGTTAGGTTCCCAGCACCCACATGATGGATAAAAAAGTAACTCCAGTTCCAGGGGCTCCCTCACCCTCTTCTGGCCTCTACAGGCACTGTACACATGTGATGCATTCACATACATGTAGGCAAAACACTCATGTACATAAATAAAATAATAAAAAGTAGCATCCTATATTTTTATCCTAAACTTGAGCCATATTGATGATTTATGTTTTAATTTAATGATGTAGAATTAGAGACAGAATATCTTACAAAATTAGGTGTTTGAGACTGGGGAGATGATGTAAATGCTTGCCACACAAGCATGAGGAACTGAGTTCAATCTCTAAAACCCACGTAAAAAACTGGGTGTGTGCCAGGCATGGTGGCATACACCTTTAATCCCAGCACTGGAGAGGCAGAGGGAGGCTGATCTCTGTGAGACTGAGGCCAGCCTGCTCTACATAACGAGTTCTAGGCCAGGGAGACCCTGTCTCACAAAGCAAACAAAAAAAAAAAGAGTTGGGTGTGGTGGTAAGCAACTGTAGTTCCAGCTCGGGGTGGGGGGTGGGGGCGGCAGGGACAAGTGAATCTGTTAGGCTGGCTGGCTCGCAGAATCAGTGAAAGCCAGGTAAAAGAGATCCTGTCTCAAAAAATAAGTGGAGAGTGCTAGGGACAACACCTGAAGTAGACCTCTGACATTTACACACACACACATATACACACACACACCCTACCCCTGCTTACAAACATGGGATGCGTTCAACCCCCTACACTCCCTGCTGAAAGATGTCTGAGAGGAGCAGGTAAAGGCCCTTGCTGCCAGACTGATGACCTGAGTTTGATCCTTAGGACACATGATGGTAGAGACAACTCCCACAAGTTGTCCTCTGACCTCCACAAGTCACTATGCACATGAGTACCTGTACACACACATACACACACACACACACACACACACACACACACACACACACACACAAATTACGTTTCTACACACAGGACAGTTCTGAGAGATTTATGTAGCCCTATTATATGTACTTCTTCTCATGGGATTTTTGTTGTTGTTTTTCTTTATTGCAAATCACTAAATTAAGCCTTCCGTTCATAGCTATTATCCAGTTAAAAAGAGCTTCTTCTGCAAAGCAGAAACTTTTATTAGGGTTTAAAGTTGATTTCAGTACTTCTGCTTGCCAGAAGTGGAATGCACATGCCTCTATCTGTTCCTCCTACTAAACACATCTACTCAAGCTAAGTACCCTGCCAAGGGCAGGAGAAGGCAGGTTGCCTCTAGTCCTTGGAACTTAAGGCATGATATGGTGATGATCACTGTGGGTTTTCTTTCCACCTCACATATCTTTGGAGCCAAAGGAGCTAGAGACACCAATGGACACATTTATCTTTACTCTGTGTGTACATTTGTGCATGCTTGTCTGTATGAGCACCATGTGCATACAGTGACTGCGAAGGCCAGAAGAGGATGTCAGATTTCCTGAAACTAGAATTACAGATGGTTGTAAGCTGCCCTATGTAGGTGCTGGGAACTGAACCCAGGCCCTCTGCAAGAGCAGCAAGGGCTGTTAATGACTGAGCCATCTCTCCAGCCCCAGGACATAGATATTTTTTTAAAGAAAATTTCTACTGAAAGCCCACATCCTCTAGCCAAACAACTAGGAAATGGATAATCTAGCAAGACAGAAAACTTTTAGATAATTGTGGCACTGCTCCAACTAAACACCACAGCAAGGAAGCTGGTTTCACCATTGCTACTGTGACAGCAGAGGCTGAGTCAGGAAGCTAGACTCTATCCCACTAGAGTGGTATCAGAGAAGCTGAGACAGAAGCCAGAAATTCATCCCGCCACTAGTATGGAGCCTGTCTGCTCCCACAGTGCCCGTGGAGACTTGCGTAGAGCCTGGGCTCCCACTCCATGCAGCCAGAAGACATCTACTGTCCTGTCCCCTACCCTGGGACCAAGCAGAAATCCTAGACTTCTACATTCATCTGGCTTTTATTAGATGGGAGTCCCCCTTTCTGCACCAGGGCAATGTTCATAAATACACGTAGCTACAACAGAGTTTCAAGTAAGACCCAGAGTCTTATAACATAGTATGAAAAAGCCCAGGTTTCAGTTGAGAAATCACTCACCACATCAAGAACCAGGAGCACTATAAAGCAAATGCGAAAATGAGAGTCCACAGATGACCACTCTGACCTAGCAAGGATGTTAAAACTAATCTGAAAAAAAAACTGGAGAAGTAGCAGGAAAGGCCCTGGGTTTGACCCCAACACTGCAAGAAAGAAAAAAGAAGCCTAGAATTATGTGACAGATTTTCAAGTAGCTACAATGAAGACAGAGACACAGTGACCAATGACTAGCACAGTAACAGGAGAGACAGCGTTACAGTACAGGAGCAAAGAATTAGAAAATGTCAACAAGGAAACAGCTGTATATAAAGAAGAACTAGATGGAAATTGAGAACTGCAAGAGACCTTGTCCCAAATGCGAAACCCAGTGGTTGGTGCCACAGAGGAACAGAAATGACAATGGAAAGATGTGGAATGACAAGGGTAATAGAAAGGATTTTATCTGAGCAGCTGAGAGAAAGCAGATTGAACATGATGAACAGAGCCTGAGGGCACTGTGGGGGTAGAACACGTGATCTAAACTTATATCTAGAGAGTTCTAGAACAAAGAAAGGTAGAAGGAGGACAGTGGGTGCAGGTTAGGAGGACAGTGGGTGCAGCCAAATAGGGCAGCCTGAGTTTGCAGATGGCATATGAAACCTCTCTGCATGGTTTCCTAATTATGTGTATCTGTGTGTCTTTGTCCTAGTTTGGCTTCCTGTTGCTGTAATAAAACGTTGACCAAAAGCAACTTGGAGGGGACAGGGTTTTTTGGCTTATACTTCCACATCATGCCCCATCACTGAGGGACCTCAGGGCAGGAAGCTGGAGGCAGGAACTGAAGCAGAGACTACGGAGGAATGCTGCTTACTGGCTTGCAACCCTGGCTTGCTCAGCTCCCTTTCTTATATGACCCAGCCCACCTGCCCAGGGTTGGCATTGCCCACAGTGGGCTGGGCACCCCCACATCAGTTAGCAGTTAATAAAATGCCTCACAGACATGCAGACAGGTCGATGCAAAGGAGGAAATTCCTCAGCTGAAGGTCCCTTTTGCCAGGTGAATCAAGTTTAGATAAAGTTGACAAAAATTAACCAGCACAGTGTGAGTGTGAATATGTACACATAAGTGCAATCCATGAGGGTCAGGAGAAGATATCAGATCCTCTGGGACTGGAGTTACAGGCACTTGTGAGCTGCCTGCACATGGGTCCTGGAGACTGAACTTCAGTCCTCTGGAAGAGCAGTGCTTGTCTTACCCATGAGCCATTGCTTCTGCTCCTCAAGTTTAATTTTAAAAATAAGGACAATAATTAACTTCTCAACTACAACAAGGTAAAAGAGGAAAGCTTCCCTTACTTTCCTTTGTACCCCCATGCAACCTGTCGGAGCCAGTCAAGTTTGGTTTTTATTTATCAGTTCATTATGTTTTTATAGTCTCATAGCCAAGGCTGAGAAAATATTCAACTTAAGAAGTTCAAACTGGATATGGTGACACATGCCTGAAATCATCCTTAGCTACACGGGGAGTTTGACACAAGACCCTGTCTTGAAAACAAACAAAAAAATGATTTCTCTATATGTTATTTTAATTGAAGCATTTCAATTCAGTGGAGGCCAGGAGAAGACATCAGATCCCCTGGGGCTGGAGAACATAACTGAATCTGTTCTTCTACAGAGGAAGGTTTTGTTTACATTGTTTGAAAACATTTAACTCAAGTCAGCATTTCGCGGACGTCCTCTGTGTATATGTGGGTGCACGTACATGTGTACACGTGTATACAGAGGCCAGAGGATCACTTTAGGTGTTATTCCTCAGGTGTCATTTACCATTTTGTTTTTGAGACAGGGTCTCTTACTGGCCTGGAACTTGCTGAGTATGCTAGGCTGACTGGCTAGGGAGCCCTAGGAATCCTGTCTTTGTTAGTGCTGGGATTATAAGCATATACTACCATGCCAGACTTTTTCTTTTAAACTGTAGGTGCTAGGATTGAACTCAAGTCTTTGTAATCACTTTAATGTTTGAGTCATCTCCCAGCTCCAGATATGCTTATCTTTGTCCCCTTTCTGAGAATACACTTTAGTTCATAAATACTTATAACCGCAGCATCTGGCTCCTCTGTTTCTCTCCCCACCTCCCAGAGCATTGAGATGAGGCTGAAGGTAACATTGCATGAAGACCTGGGGGCAGCGCTCATGGATGGAGTGGTGCTCTGCCACCTGGCCAATCACATCCGCCCACGGTCTGTCGCCAGCATCCATGTCCCCTCACCTGCGGTTGTAAGTACTGCCCTGGAAGGGAAAACTGACCAAACAGGGTCTTTTTTGGACAGAACTTTTCTGTTGGGCCCAAAACAACTAGAAAGAGAGAACAAAGGGAAGGGTCTGAGGAAATAGCATTTTCACTAATGGGAAAATATTTAAAACCTGGTATGGAAAAGACAGTAACTATCTCAAATGTGAATTTAAAGACATTACCAATTGATATGCTAGTTATAAGACCATAAGAGATAAAAATTCATTTCTCATATAGGGTTATTTTAAAAGTTAAATGCCTTCTCAGAAAGCTATTGGATTGGCATCTTCTAAGTGAACTGTCTCTCTTTCTCAATAAGGTGTCCCTGTGTATTCACTATGTATCCTAAGCTGGCCCTGAACTTACCTCCTGCCTCAACCTCCCCAGTGCTGGGATTACTGGTTGGAATCTCTTTGTATTTATCACTGGGGACTTAGAAAAGCTTATGAAGATACGTCATCTGTGGAAAATATCATTAATAGCCTGTCAGCCAGAAGTCAGTCACCTAGTCCTTCTTGCCCCTTGCCTACTTCTTTCCCTTTCTTCCTTTGCCAAGGATCCAACCACAGGGCCACAGTCTGATAAGCAAGTGCTCCCCTACTGAGCTACATACACCCTAGAAATCACAGAGTCTCTTACAGACCAGAGACCCTAAGAGTCGGAGAATCAGAGATATATACTCTTGTCTTTGAAGCCGAGAGAGGGTTTAAACAAACAAGAGTAGAAAGAGTTTGTACCCACAGATTTGCTGTGTTAGGGAAAGTTACAGAGTTCAGGAGCTAAGAATGTAAGGTTGGATTAAAATTCCAGATCTATTTCTAAAGCCATAAGACTTTGAGCAAGTTGCATCCTCTCTTTAGCATGATTTTCTCTTCCATATGATAGACCTGTTCTTGTGAAGATGACATGAGGTACTAGACAGACTAGACATTGCTGACATCTGTGTTTATATATAGCAGACTTTCAGAAGCAGAGCTACTAATCTCAAGGCATAATTCTGACCATGTAATCAGTATGTTGGGAGGCCGCTTGTGTGAAGCCTCCCTTCCTCCCCCAGAAGACCTTGTGAAGGCCTTGTTTATCCGACTTTCCTTTCTGTTGGCAGCAGAAAGATTAGCTGATGATCCCATTTCAGCTGTTAGTGCCTTTCCTATAATATCAATCTGTTTTTTTTTCCTTTCCAAAGTTGAACCACTTTTTTGCCCCAGAAACAAGATAAAGGGGAGACCAGTATGGCTTCTCTTTGAAATCTGCCTCTAGCAACCTTAACATAGAACAGTGAGTTCCAGTCTGATAATAGACTGTAGAACTCACCAGTATCTTCTTGTTGTTGTTAAGACATTTTTATCTTTTGATTATATATGCTTATGTGTGTCTATGTGCACATGTGTGCAGGTGCCTGTGGAGGCCAGAAGAGGGAGTCAGATCTCTTGGAGCTAGAGTTCAAGGCCTGATATGGGCACTAAACCCAGGTCCCCTGAGGGCAGTGTACGCTCTTAACCGCTGAACCATCTCTCCAGCCCCTCACCAGTATCTTTTATGGTTAGATTCCAAACTGACAAAGTCATCTGAGCAGTGTGCCACACTGTCACTGGATTTCTCAGATTCCTCTGTCTGTAACTGGAATGTGCACTGTGATCATGCAGGGTGTTAGAGGACATTAAGAATCAGGAGCCTGTACACTTTGTTATTTTACTAGAAAAAATGTTGTACATTTAAAGAAATGTTTTCATTTTCTCTACTTCCTTTTTAAATAAATTTTTCTTAATTGGAAAATAGAGCTTGGTTGAAGAAAATAACAGAAAACAGGAAAAATAAGTGATCCTTTTCCTACCATCAAAAGAGGAAATACATTTGTGTTTTTAATGTGTTCCTCTCATACACTATTTAGTAGTATTTAAAGTTTATGAAAGTCCAGATTTTCTGTGTTATTAACATTTTTCCTAAATTTCCAATTTACCAATTGTGCTATTGTGTTATAGGTTTCTGTTTAGAAGTGCAGTTTGCTTCTAAATGTCCCCTTACCGGAAATTCTTCTGTGAGCTTCTTGGAGTATTTTTCTTATTACATGTTTATTTATCCTGTGTGTGTCTATATAGACACGCATTTGCCATAGCATGTGTGTGGAGGTCAGAGGACAACTTGTAAGAATCAGTTCTCCTCTCTCATCATGTGGGTCCGGGGTCTGAACTCAAATCATTGGGCATGGTGGCAGGTACCTTTGCCTGCTGAGCCATATTGCTGGCCTCGAAATGGTTTTTGATGGACCCAGCCCTGCTATAGCGATAGAACCTGCACCCATGGTACCTGTTACCCTCCCCTCCACAGCTCAACCACTGTTTTCTACTGCCTCAGTGTTTACAGGAGGTGAACTTTCCTTGACTCCTTAGACCTGGGTTTCCTTGTCTTTTTTTTCTTATAGCACACACACCACCATTAGGAACTACCCTGTGTTATTACATAGCTTCTTTCAACCTGTTAATGTTTCCAACTAAACTGGAGTCAAGTGGCCATAAAGTTTATGTCTTTTGATTCTACCATTGTGTCGTTAGCACTAAATATAGCATGTGGCACAGAATACACAATAAATACAGTTGTGTCTCCACTGTCATTGATGACGAGGATTCCTGTCCTTTCAATATTACTACCATCATTAAGTTTTCTGATTTTTCATTCATGAGTTTAATGTGCATTGAAAATTTTTTTGATTTATTTTTACTTTATATGAGTGTTATGCCTACATATATCTAAGTTCACCCATGTTGTGCAGTGCCCAGAGAAGACAGAGGAAGGTGTTAGATCCCCTGGAACTAGAGTTGCAGATGGTTGTTAGCTACCACATGGGCACTGGGATTTGAACCTTGGTCTTCTGCAAGAGCAGCTGGTGCTCTTAACCACTGAGCTACCTCTCCAGCACCATAATGTGCATTCTTTTTTAATGCCAAGCTAAGGGAATGTAGTGTAGAGTCACTGCCATTGTCATTGTGCTGAGAATTTTCCTTGGTGGGGGTGAGTTTCTTCAGTTTTTGAGAATTTGATAAGCAAAACATAGGCATCCCAGTCAGTGTAATTAATGTGATTTTTGATGCTTTGACCAATGGTGAGGATGAACTCTTGGCCATCATCACAAATGCTTCCCTATCTAAGGCTTTAAGTGAGCTTCCTTTTCCCAAGAGGGGAAGGCATTTTTATGTTACTTGAAGAACCCGTTCCATGTACTTCTGTGATAACTGAGAACGATGTGGGGCATTACTGGGGTTTCAGAATAGCTCCTCTTGAACAATAAGTACATGAAGGAAGATTATGGACCCCCAGGATCAGAGACCAATGCTAGGTCTCCTGGTACCCCATCTGTTTCATCTAGAATCTCCTCCTCTCTGTTCCCATGTTCTTTCTGTTCTTAATGCTGGGATGTGCTTCATATAGCCATCCTACCCTAGGACATTCAGGGCAGGCAATGGCAAGACCACCCACAGCTGTGGGCTGTGTCTTCTATGGCTCATATTGAGGGGACTTCCTCTCTAGCTAAGTTGGACAGTGTTTGTTTAGTCTCTAGACTAAGTTGTTTGACATAGTAATAGGTAGCTTTACCTGCTTACTTTTCTCTGTTCACAAAATAAGGCTTTTTGTTTTTTTGTTTTTTTTTTTAAACAAACAACAACAATAAAAAACAAAGAAACAAAAAAAACAATCTTTCCACTGGAGAATTGAGGTCAGTCATATTTCTTGTTTTTCTTTTTAACATTTTTTCAATTTTTATTTTTATTTTATATGTATGAGTGTTTTGCCTGCATGTGTATAAGTATACCCATGTCGTGCAATGCTCACGGGGGCCAGAAGAAGGCACTGGATCCTGGAACTGGAGATATAGATGGTTGTTAGCTGCCATATGGGTGCTGGGAACTAAACCCAGGTCCTCTGGAAGAAGAGTCAGTACTCAACCATGGAGGCATCTCTCCAGCCCCTTGCTTTCCTTTTTAAGGGAATTAAGAGTGGAACGTTAAAATTTAGCAAGCGTTTAAAATTTACTGTGGAAAAATTATCAAGTATGATTCCAATGAATCTGTTACCCATCGCACACCTGCAGTGTCATCTGAAGAGAAGGTAATTGCAGCTGTGGAAGGCTTTGGGTTGCGTTCTGAACATATACTGTTTTTAGTGCTGTTTACCTTTTTGTTTTGTTCTGATTAAACCTTGTTTTGGTGAGGAGACAATTAAGCAGCCCGGTGAATTTAAACCTTCCATATAGACATGCATTTGTTGTTGAGGTATATTTTTAGGTGAACTAAAGGGTTATTCAACAGTTATAACCCCATAAAAACTACATGTGTATATGTATGTGTGTATGCATATATAGATGGATATACATGCCTACATAAATAAGCAAAAAACTGCATAGATATATGCTGGCATATTAGCCTTATATATATCTGTATAAACACTTATATAACTACCTATATGTGTCTGAATCTGTGTATGCATGCACACACACACACACACACACACACACACACAAACACATAGTATCTACAAGAACATGACCCAAAATATTAAGGTTTTTAATCTCTAGGTTGCTGTTTCTGGATAATTTTTATTATAATAATGTTATTTCTGTGTGTTTGCATTTCTAGCCCAAACTTAGTATGGCCAAATGCAGAAGAAATGTGGAAAATTTTTTGGAAGCCTGCCGAAAACTTGGAGTACCAGAGGTAACATCAGACTTAGTTCAAATAACCATATTTTAGTAAAAACAGTGTGAACAATTGAATAGATATAAGGCTTTATACATCTTTTTGTTGTTGTTTGACTCAATCTTTTTCAAGGAATAGCCTTGAGTAAGTTAGGTAAATTTGAATTTAAATTGTTCTATCTCAATGAAATTAAAGTGGCTTTATATAGTATGTTCAGTGATGAGGAAAAAGGGAAAATAATTTCATTAAGGTTTTGAAATAAATGTGAAACCCAAACTTTAAAAAAACCCAACTAATCAGCTAATTTAAATTAATGAGAGTCAGTAGATTCTCTAAGAGCAGAAATTGCTGAGGCTGCAAGGGACTCTCCGACCAGTTCCACAGAGTAGCTAAGTGCTGCTGATTGGAGCAGGGCTTCCTCAGCCCAGGCTGTTAGGCAGAGGCCTATGTTGCTGCTGACTGCTCGTGTTAATTCCTCTGGTTGCATTTTGAGTGTGCAAGTCAACTAATATTCACTGAAAATACAATGATTGTTATTATCACTAATGATAATGATGCATGTGGCTTTGCAGGTTGTTAACTACGTTTTGGGGGTATCCTTGTGCTGTCAGCCTGTACTGGCTGTTTTCTGCCTAATTGTACAGTTGTTACGTGTTCCTCTCCCAGGCTCATCCTCAAACAGGTGTTTGATTTGGGGACTTTTTAGAGATTTTGTTGCTCTTAGCATTAAATGACTTCAGGATTTAGGGAGTAGCTATGTGAATTAAGAAGTTTTTATCATTATGCTAAACAGAAATGAATAGAAATTATATTTCTTATGCGTTCTGTCTCTCCTATGACTCAGAGATAAAGCAAGCTTAAGAGAAAAAAACAACTACTCTTGTAAGAAATTCTGAACATGTGAATCACATATGGATGGAATTCTGCACAATGTTGTTAACGTTGACAAAGCTCTCTTTTCCTGTCCTTCTTCCTCCTCCCGTATTTCAGCTTGGGAAAGGATACAGCTTAGGGGAAGGATTCTAACATTACTTAAGGAAAAAGAAAACATTATTAAAACATTCTTAAGTCAGAGCTGTATCAATGAAAAGAGACTTAGGAATTCAGTTTTTTTAAAAATCTAATTTTTATAGAATGGCCAAAATGTCTTTGTGATCTGTTCTTCCTTCAATTCTGTTAATCTGTGCGTCCGCGTTGTCTGTGTGCATTCCATATTGCATATAAACTCTTGGCTTTAAATATGTCACTATACACTTTTCCCTAATAATTTGATTCTGTCACGGGACAGGTAGAATTCCCTTGTGTAAATCAGAACTCTTGTGCCCAGTTTCCAATGATAAACTATTTGGGTCTGTGCTACAAGCCCTGATGCGTTATGAACTCATTCTCAGCAACACTGTTTCTCCGCTTATCAATGGCACAGCATGGAATGTGAGCACCCTCACCCACTTCTGTAAGTGAAGGCTGGTAACTGAATTTCCTTTTATAGTGGAAAAAGGAAATTGAAGTTCTATAAAAATGCAGAGCAAGGTCTAAATTATGCCTCTGTCCTGGTGCTCCAGCCTGATGGGCAGCTCATAATTCCCAAGAAGGTCGGACAGTGAGTGACAGTTTTGCCAGTGTTCCAATATTTCGTTACTTCTTTTAAAAAAATTTTATTTACTTTTATGTGTATGAGTATATTGCCTGCATATATGTAAATGCACAGCATCATGCAATGCTTATGGAGGTCACAGAGGTCAGAAGAGGGGGCATCAGATTCCCTGGGAACTAGAGTTCATGCAGTTAGCCACAATGTGGGTTTTGGGACTCTAACCCAGGCCCTCTACAAGAGCAGCCAGTGTGCTCTTTGCCACTGGGCCATCTCTCCAGCCCCTATTTTTAAAGTTATAAGTGATTTGCAAGTCTACAGTCTGTGTGTCTGTGTGTCTGTTTGTGTATCTATCCTTGTGGATAATCCAATAGCATTTTACTGGTGATTAGAGTTATCAATAACTCTGTGGTCACTGCTACTGGGAAAAAAATATTTATTAACAACTAAAATTCTCTAGAGAGAATTTTGAAGTAAGGAAGGTATGCTCTAATGGAAAACTGGAAATTCCCCATTGGAGGTAATTAGCAAATCTTCCTGCTTGCTCTAAGCAGAATATTTTCATTTCACAAAATGCACGAGGGAACAGTTCGTGCAGGGAGATCACAGAATGAAACTGTGGAGTCCAATGTCTTCCTTCTTTCCTTTTCCCTTCTTGAAGTAGTTGATGTTTGCATGTGCCTGTGGCCCAGTATAACTAATGATTTATTCTAAAAAGATAATTGTATCAAAGGAATACTTGTAGAAATTCACTATCTACAATTAGATATTTAAAAACACTTGTTACCAAAAAAATATAGAGACCTTACATCATTGCATTGAACTATTTGAATAACAAAATATTTATTGGTTTCTCAGCTGTAAACATAGTTGATCCTCTCCACTCACACACACACACACACACACACACACACACACACACGATTGCATGCGCGTTCCATGAAGATCTTGAACTGTGAATTTTTAGGCTAAATTTCTAATAATAACCTGTCTATACAGACTAAAAGTGAGAGCTGTGCTCCAAGACTTTACTCATTCCCCTCAATGATCAAATCACCATTTGAACCTACAACCTAAAATCAGGGCAAGTAGTTTTCATAATTTATCAGGTTCATAGGGTTAGACATGAGCTGAGCAGATAAATTTAAATAATGTTATGCAAATGATGCAGAGGGAATAATTTTGAAATCATTCCAATTGTTATTGTTTCTTACATTTTTTAATATAATCCCAGATGTTTACAGCTAAATCCTCAGAACCAGGCTGTGGTCTGTTGAATAGCCAGGATATGTCCCCGTGCAGGATGTGGTAAGACAGCACTTCAACCCAATGAATAAATAGTAGAGGGTATGGGTGAAACTGTCCTCCAGTGGCCTGTTAAGCCCACTTCTTACAATAGGGTAGGAAAGAATGGTTCTGAGGTGGCTCCTGTGCACAAATGGCTTCTTCGGTGGACTAGATTCAGAACTGTAGGCACTGCCAGGCAGATGCTGGAGAGTCAAACTGTGTGGCTGATCTGTGTGTAAGCTTTACCTTGGTCTTGAGGACAGTGCTTAGTGGGCTGCTAAATCCTCAGGATAGATTCTATCACTCAAGATATGAACCTGGTTAGGCCTTGGATTCATGATGCTATTTATATACATCTTAGCTTCCTCTGTCATTTCTGAGTTGGCCTGGCCCTTCCTAGCCTCTGCTTTGCACACAGAAGATTCATTGTTGGCTGTCATTCCAAAGTTTAGACTATTTTAGGAATCTAACTACTAATTTCTCAGGTTTAGAGAAGTCTCTGATTATGAAGCATCGAAAGTATTACACAACAGGGGCTGGAGAGATGGCTCAGCGGTTAAGAGCACAGGCTGCTCTTACAGAAGACCCAGGTTCGAATCCCAGCATCCACATGGCAGCTAACAATCATCTGTGACTCCAGTTTCAGGGGATCCAATGCCCTCTTCTGCCCTCTGTGGGCACTGCATGACATGGGTGCACTTATATGCATGCAGGCATAACACATAAAATAAAAAAAATAAATAAAAGAAAATTTAAGTGTTAGACAACAGATATTTATTTGGTTCACTGAGGAAATGTTTCTGCCTCATTTTAAGTAAGTAGCCTTGGTCCTAGGACCCTTAGGAATAAAGTGTTTAGCTTAGCAGAGGTTCCTGTTTAGATGGCGGGGGAAGGGAGTAGATTTGGAGAAGAAAGTTACTTTATTTTCTCACTGCCCAGCCTTGCCCTTCATTACTGTCACTAGATAGGAAGCAGAGAAGAAAGTTAAGACAGAGATGAGTTGGCAGCAGAGAGGACACCTTGGCAGGCAGAAGCCTGTCCTGCCTAGCTGGCAGCGTGTCCCTTCAGGAGGCCACTGTTTTTCATTCCATATCTACAAGGAAAGACCACTGGATGGACCTCAGTTTCTACACTAACTAGAACTAAAAATAAAATTCTAATTTACACTCATATGCTAACAGTGATTGTGTTGATGTAGGCATAATTATATTGGATGTTTTCTACTTTTTAGTACCTTTTAGTATTTGGACTTCTGTTGTGTTTTATGAGATTTTCTGCTTAAAAGTAATAAAAACTTCCTACTTTATACCTGTTGTGAAAGTTTAGGAAATTATACATATGTAGCTTATCAGAACATTTGTTATTGAAGGGCACTGTGGAAATTGAAGCTACAGTTTTGTTTTCATTTTGAAGGGAAATGAGTCTCATCTTTTTTGAGCTTGTGTCTCTTTTTTTTGCCACAAATCAATGACTTTAGTATCAATTTAAATCATAACTAACACTTTTTTTGGGTGGAAGTGAGATTCTTATTAAGATACTCATTTTCATTCTGTCTTTATATTGGTTAATTCTTTTTAAAGATGTATTTATTTTTATTTGATGTGCATGAGTGTCTTGCCTGGATGTATGTAAGTGTACCACCACATATGTGCCTGGTTCCTGCAGAGGCCAGAAGTATTGAATCCCCTGGAACTGGAGTTAAAGATGGTTTTGAGCCACCATGTGGGTGCTGGGAACTGAACACAGATTCTCTGGAAGAGTAGCAAGTGCACTTAACTGCTGAGCCATCTCTCCAGCCCCTGTGTTTGCTAATTCTGAGATTGAATAACCAGAGCTGCGAGCCAACAAGCTTATTATACCAATTTGTTGATCTTGATTTTTGGGAAAGCCTGGCTCTAATATGTACAATCTGCTCATCTTTTTTATTTTTGATTCCGGGCAAGAGGGTGCTGGATAGCTTTCTGTCCTAGTTTGTTTCTCCATTGCTGTGACAAAACACTGTGACCAATACCAACTTGGGGAGGAAAGGGTTTATTTAGCTTACATCTCCCGGGTCACAGTTCATCCAGGAGTCCAAGGTAGGAACTCAGGACAGGATCCTGGAGGCAGGAGCTGGAGCACAGGCCATGGAGGGGGGCTG